ATATAGATATATATATATATAGATATATATATATATATCTATATATATATATATTATATATATATATATCTATATATATATATATTATATATATATATATACATATATATATATATACATATATATATATATAGATATATATATATATATAGATATATATATATATAGATATATATATATATATATATTATATATATATATATCTATATATATATATATCTATATATATATATATTATATATATATATATCTATATATATATATATTATATATATATATATGTGTGTGTGTGTGTGTGTGTTGTGTGTGTGTGTGTGTGTTGTGTGTGTGTGTGTGTTGTGTGTGTGTGTGTGTGTGTGTGTTGTGTGTGTGTGTGTTGTGTGTGTGTGTGTGTTGTGTGTGTGTGTGTGTGTTGTGTGTGTGTGTGTTGTGTGTGTGTGTGTGTGTGTGCGTGTGTGTGTGTTCTTACCTTGTTGTTTCAATGCGAGAGAAGAGCTAAGCTCAGATGATTCTCGCAATGATAGAAGGTATCTCGAAAGGTTCCCGAACAAAAACTCCAGTTACATTAGGTCGTTTCAGCAAATCGTTTCTTATGCTACCAAAATATCCCTAGCGTTATTGCTTTTTTCTTTTTTTATGCGATTGCATCCAAAGACCACATTGGGAAACGTATATAGCCTCATTGTGCAAGATATGGCATGGGCAAATATAGCAGTCAAATTGAATCAGTGTCAATATAATAACCATCACCGCTTTTTTCAACTAGTCAGTCTGTAGAAAAGAAAGAGTATGATTGGGTAATGCGCTTTAAAGTTATTCATTCTCCTTCATAAATGTTTATAGGAAATTAATGCATTCCAGATGGAGACCTAATCGCAGTGTAGTTATTCATTTTCTTTCATGCCTTTTCCTACATTTCCTACTCCTTGGTCAAAAGAATATTCCTCAAAGTGGTCTTAATATTCTTAATGAATATTAAATTTCCTCCTAGGGTCCGATACCACTTGCACCTTAATGAAACAGAAGCATGCATAAACTATGTTGCTTTTTTTTTTATTCCATTCAATTCCTCGTTTATATTTCCCAACTGATGTCTGTGATGGAATGAGTTCGTTTTGATTGCACGGAAGCTGATAAAGTAGAATTTATATAAACTATAAATATATGTATATTTGTCTTACACTACGTACTATTTTCGCCGTTATTATTGGAGCGATTCTTTCGTAAGAACTCATAATGAGTCATGAAGTTACAGGAAACTTGATTATTCTTGCTCTTCACCCTGTGCACTTGACAATTTTGTGTAATGGGTTCCTTGAAACATCTATATTTACATCAAAATCACTGGTGCAATGCAATGCAATGCATTCATTATTTGGATTTTGGGTGTAAATATAAACTGTGTATGTGACTATGTATCAGTATGTGAGTGTGCCTCTATTTGTATGTATGTGTAATGTTTTGCACAATATTTCGCGATTGCTTGTATACTAAGAATGTATATGTGTGCGTGTGTGTGTGTTCTTACCTTGTTGTTTCAATGCGAGAGAAGAGCTAAGGTCAGATGGTCCCATCTGTTATATCTAGATTAAATTGATGCACATTTTTGGCACACACAGCGTTATTTGAAAGAATGTTCCATGTTTCAGTAATTAGTTTCAATAGTCTTTTTACTTTCAACTTTTTACTGTGTCCTTCCGTCCTTCTTGTGCTAAAAATTATAGGCATCTTTGTTTAACTTCACTCTTCCTGTAATATAGTTGAACATCATAATCATATCACGCCTTTTTCTTCTTTCTTCCAAGGTAGTAGGTCCTATTTTCTGTCTTTCTTCGTAGCTCATTCTTCGAGTAAGTGCTGCACCATGCTCTGGACTAGGTCTCATGATGGCTGTAATTATCTCCTTTACCATAAAAAGGAGATAATTGGCAATAATTTTAAGGGCCTTGTCATTTACATGATCCTTTCGGCTTAGGTTCCTGTTTAAGATTATTCCAAGGTCTGTTTTCCTTACCTGCTAGATTTAATATTACGGTTACTAATTTGTATTGGTATATTGGACCATTTTTACTTTCTTCGAACCTGACTACATGGCATTTATTGGTGTTGAATTCCATTTTCCAAGTACAACTCCACGTGAACAACTGGCATGAAACATAGTCTATTATCCTTTATTTTGTAATTTCGCGTTGTCTGCAAACATATTCAGATAATCACTCGGGCTTATGTTTGACACTTAATCATCGATGAGAATAGTAAACATAATCGGTGGTAAGGCTGATCCTTGAGGTACTCCCCTAGTTACTCGTCGCCATGTAGAGTAGGCTACTTCCCTCTAATTACAGTGCTTTATGTCATTCATGAAGAAAGTTTCATCCATTCGAGGAGTTTGCCTTTCACTCCACATAGCTGTTCCAATTTCCGTAATAGTCTTTTATGAGACACCTTATCAAGTGCCTTCTTAAAGTCTAAGTATACACAATCCACCCAGCCGTTTCTTTCTTGTAATATTTCAGAAACTCTATCATAGAAACAGAAGTGATTCGCAACGTATGACCTTTCTTCCCTAAAACCAAATTGTTTATTTGATATCATATCGTGTTTTTCAACTACTTCATCCCACTGTTTCCTAATTATCCTTTCTACCATTACTATTAATTAACGAAACCTGTCTAATTTAGATGATTTTGTTTGTCGCCGTTCTTATATAAAGGTGTAACATTGCCTATTTTCCTTTTTTTTGTAATTTCGCGTTGTCTGCAAACATATTCAGATAATTACTCGGGATTATGTTTGACACTTAATCATCGATGAGAATAGTAAACATAATCGGTGATAAGGCTGATCCTTGAGGTACTCCCCTAGTTACTCGTCGCCATGTAGAGTAGGCTACTTCCCTCTTATCAAGTGCCTTCTTAAAGTCTAAGTATACACAATCCACCCAGCCGTTTCTTTCTTGTAATATTCCAGAAACTCTATCATAGAAACAGAAGTGATTCGCAACGTATTACCTTTCTTCCCTAAAACCAAATTGTTTATTTGATATCATATCGTGTTTTTCAACTACTTCAGCCCACTGTTTCCTATTTATCCTTTCTACCATTACTATTAATTAACGAAACCTGTCTAATTTAGATGATTTTGTTTGTCACCGCTCTTATATAAAGGTGTAACATTGCCTATTTTCCTTTTTCTGTAGTTTTACTTGTGTCACTGAATTTTGGAATATTAACGATAACAGAGTACATAGTTCTTCGACACATTCCCTCACAACCCAGTTAGATATCTCATCTGGTTCATCTGCTTTAGTCTTGACTAACCCTTTTAGCAGGTCTATTAATTTATTCTTTTTGAGCGCGATATTTTCAGTATTTTGATTTACGTTTGTACGCTTACTTGCTATTTCAAAGTATAGGTCCTGAACAAACACTGACTGAAATTTCTCATTAAGGATTCCACATATTTCCTCCTTAGTACAAGATGTTATTGTCTGTGATGGCGCTAGTTTGAGTTTCACATTAAGCCTTACTGTTTATATAGTAGT